AAGTGACCTATTTAACTCCACGAGATGACTTTTCTCCCTCTTACGTTCTCCACCAAATAAATTAGTTCAAGGTAAGTAGGTCTTTGAAGAAATAACAGAAAGGAAATAATCTTTTAGTACTAAATTCGCTACAGATGAGATAATTGATCAGTAGTAAGGCAAAGTGACATCAAAATACGTATTTACTGGATTGTCATGAAAATACTAGACCAAACATTTAGGATGATGTCTAAATGTTATTGCATTTTCAGAATATAACCGCTAATACATCGTTCAACCTAGATGGTTACGTTGTGCTCTTTCTCTCTTTTTAAATATATTTTTTAAAACAAATTAAAATTTAAAGAAGCAGATCGTTGCTAAAGCAAAAAAACCCGAATAGTAGTATTTTATTACCCGAAAAACAATATATGTTTACTTTCCAACGGCAACTTTATCGTTACAAATTAATACATATATGAAAAAAAGTATAAAAATATATCCTGAAGAAGCCAACAGGATGATTGGCGAAACGTCAGCAAGTTCGACTCAGCAAAAACCGACGCAAAAATCATCCAGAAGTTTTGTAAAAAGTAAAAATATATTAGTAACTATGGTTACTTTAATATTAAGTCAACTAGATCCCAATAATAATTAAAATATATCAGAATAGTATTCCTGCAAGCCTTTATAAATTAAAATATATTTTTTTGAAATATTTGAAAGTAATTAATAGGCATTAATAATCCAGTAGGCAAATTTTGCCTAATGCCTGAAAAAGTCCCCACTGTCGCTGTTTAAAAATCGATTACTTTTATAACTGTGTTTGGGGAAGTAATTTCGGATATCCCATTAGACCTCGACCTAAAGGTGTGACTGTGAAAATAACCATGTAATTAACATTAACCACGTTGACTTCTTGTAAAAACTGCTCAGGACAATGTTTGTGATCATTAGTCAAAACGTACTACTATAGACCGATTTCGTTATCAGAAGATTCCATTAATCTTACACAACCAATATCCGATAGTTTTCTTTTATTATCGATTAAAGAAACATTTTACTATAGGAATAAGAAATTCGGGGCAGCTTTTCTATCGCATTGATACTTTTTGGATGTTTCATGCTTAACTCTATTTGTATTTTCTATGAAATAAATATAATATTCCTAAAATTCCCACTCGGGGCATGTTCTGAGTAACAGATGCGTTCATTTTTGCAAATGAATGAATGTTACTTGTTTAAGTTTATTTTTCAATCCATTATTTTGAGACCTAGTTAATAAGATTCAAACTAGAAATAATAAAACACAAGCATAATAAACTCAAAGATATTTAAAAGCTCTCACTAGGGTTTTGCGGTTGCAATTAAAAGTATGTATCCACAATATATTTTATGATATTTTTATGGCATCTTATTGAAAATATTTTCCTTGGGAAATTCTGAAAATGTTGCATCAAATTTTTATTTCCTCTCGATTCTCGGCCCTTGCCTCATAATATTTCTTTCTGGTAGTTTTATTATTCCAAAAAATAAAAAAGGGCAAATTGTGCGACGTCTAAATCTCCTATGAATTTAATAAAAAAATGCTTATACAGATTCTGGGACGGTTTTCGTTAAATAAACCTTCGCATAGCTTTAACTGGTTGCGGAACGACGGATCGATGCCTTTCTAGAAACTTCTAAGAGCCTTTGAACCTTTGACTGGAGATCGTTTTTTTCTTTAGGGGAATCTGACACGGATTCGTTTAATAAAGTGCTTTTTAATTGCTTAAATTGAGATCAACAACTTGCTCCAAAGTAAAGGAATGTTACGGAAGTGAGTTTAAATTTTTAAAGAAAAATTTTATTATGTATATTAAAATTCTTATAACTTTTTTGGTACATCAGCAACACAACAAATTACTCGCTTTAATGAACTTTAAAAACAAAATGATTTGACAAATTTACATTTTTCTTCGTTCTTGCATCTACTGGATATGCTAAAAATGATATTATCAATTATTATTACCATTCCCATTATTATTATTATTACTATTACTATTACTTTTTTTTACAGCATCGACTTCTAGGCCATTAGCTGATTCCTGTGTATTTTATCAGGATTCCAGGGTTCAATATATAGGGGTGGTGGGTAACATCGATATAGGTTATATTATAAAACTTGGATCTTCGTTTTATTACTAGCTTGTGAGAGTCGTTGTTGCAATCCGGTTTAGATGCGGTTAGCTGTGCCAATTTGTCTAATAAATTGAAGTATTTTTGCCGTTTCAGTTTGGTTGCCAGATAGGCATCTTAAGTTATTCGGTATTTTCAGTTTTAGACGGAGGCTTAAGTAGTGAGGGCATTCGGTCATAATGTGTTTCACTGTTAATTCCAAGACAGTAATCACATATTGGAGGGTGGAGTTCGTCGCAGGAGGTACATTGAAATAATATTTGTATCGCCGATTCTTAGTCTTGTCATTATAGACTGTTCTCTCCTAGTCAGGTATTGTGGTTGTCGTCTTGTAGTAACATCTGGGAGTATTTCTTTTAACTTTGCGTCACTTTGATTCCAATCAGATTGCCAGGCATCTATTATTTTTTCTTTCATTTTTGTACTCAGATCATAACAGCTTATTGGTATTAAATTGGTATTAAAGGGGGGCGCCCTCGCGGGCGTCCAAGCACTTAGGCCACCAGATGGGCCCGTTGTGCCCATCATCATCATGACAGCTTATAGGGATATTTTCAGGAGGTTCTGCGCTCGCTAATTTTGCTGTTACGTCTGCTAGGTCATTTTCTCTTATACTACTGTGACTTGGTATCCAGATGAGATGGATGCTTTTGTTTTGCTGTCCTAGCTAATCTATTGTTGCTAAGATGTTTTGAGTTAAAGGGTTCATACTATAAATATCTTCCATGTTTTTGATGGAGTTGAAGCTCTCCGAAAATATCAACATATTTTGTAGAATTAATACTTGTCGCTGGATGCAGGGTCCATGACCAGGAGTTATCTTTGCTGTGGAAGGCACTACCAACTCCAGTTTTTGTTTTTGATCCGTCTGTGTAGATGGTTATGTTATTTGGGTATATGTTTTCAAATGAAGATATCATATCCTTGATTAATCGTGTGTTTGGTTCATCTCTTTTTGCGGTTGGACAGTCTAGGTGTATTTCAGGTTTTCTTAGTGTCCACGGTGGAATTTCGCAGTGTTTTATTTGATACATTTCCGCAAGCAATCAATTGTTTTTCTCGGTTGAAGATTTCATAATTTGGGTGATTATTATTATTATTATTATTATTCGGGATTTTCTTCAAAGGTCCATATCCATTCTAATCTTGGACTGCGATTGCATCTAATGTGTGGTGGTATCCGAAGTAGTTTATGAATGCAGTACTCCGTGCAGTAGCCTTTTTCTTACAGTTTGCATCGTCAGTACGTTGTAGGTCATCATCTGCGTCTCATACTGACTGTATTATTTTAATAAACGAGTCATAAAAAAGCACTTGTTCTTGTAAGAGTAGTACATCGTTTTCTAGTATTACATCATGTTGTCATCAATCGGAAAATAAAACTGGTTGACCGAACGACTCTTTTGACGACGCATTTGAGGAAAATTTCATCCCCTCGCCAATCTTTCTTCTTGAATCCAATATATAAGCAAGTCCCACTAACTGCTTCGGTCTAAATTCAAAAATACCAAGTACAACCATAAAGTATATTGTAGGTCTTTTTACAGGTCCTTTCAGATTTGAAAATTTTTAAAGTGATTCAAGGATACGATAATGGTGACATTTCAATGGTACTCTCATACGACCTTACTAAAGCCGGTTCTCGGACCGCTGCTATTTATCATTTATGTAAATGATTTGCCGTTGTCTATCCCCATTATTAGCATTATGCGGATGACATTGCCATTTTGTAAATGTTGCTGCAGTTACAAATATTCTTCAACAAGGTTTTTTTGCAAATAGCTCGGCCCGTATTCTTGGGCTGTTCCACAGCGTACTTTTCTATGGTGTAGTGCTTTGGAACGGGGTTAGATATTCGAAAAAGGCTTTCCGGTGGCAAAAATAGGCTGTACAGGTGCTGTGCGGTGCTGATCTAGTTGCGCAATTTTTACCCGGTTACAGATTATGACCCTGCGTTCTATATACATACACCTATCTGTTTCACATATAGACGTTGATATCTATCGAGTAACCACTAGCAAGCACGACTAAATACCCATCTGTTTTACATATAGGTGAAAACCTTGATATCTATCTAACAAGCACGACTACAATACCTGGCAAGTTGATCCGCCAAATGTTAAAAACCTACCTTTTAAGCAATTTAAAATAAAAATGAAAGACTTTTTACTTAGAATGCCTTTTATAACACTGATGAATACTTGGAGCTACTTAGTCATACAGCGCTATAATGAACTCTCTCTATTTGGTGTACTATTATTATTAGATTTATAATAGATAGATATAGATAATATAATAGCCATTAGTTACTCTATATTATTGTATCAATGTTTTGTTGTTTTCCACGTTCCATTTGTTGTTTCATAACTGATCTGAATGGTTAATAAAGTTCTATTCTATTCTATTCTAATGAGTGTATAAAAAATCGGAGATCTAAAGTAAGTTTAGGAAACCTTCCCCATAATAAATAATATTGCACTCCTAAATGAAATGAAATATGTATCAACTAGGCTTACAATTGATAAAAAATATCTGGAAAATACTAGAAGAAAAATTAATTTCTAATGCACTTGAGCGCTTCGAGGCATGATAGCCGAGATATCAATAACAAGTGCAGTAATATATATTCGTGTTTGAGATCCAATCCGATCCGTATTGCTGATACGGATATCTGTCGACCTGTATCTGCTATCTATTTGTGTCTGTTACACTGCAAGTAGAAAATCCTGAGGTTCTTTGAAATCGGAAAAGTTGATTAGATAAAATTCCCAAACCATTTTATCAATATAATGTTTATCTGCGCTTTATTTCTTTCCAAAGATATAAGGCAATACTTGTTTCAGATTAAAAGGCTTTCTTAGCCTGGACGTGGACGTTTCTCATTTGGAAGTCGACCAATGTGAATCGGTTAGTGATTCGCTCCACGTCAGCATTGGAGTCTTTCATGGATCCCACAAATGTCACAACGTAACGTCCGAGGTTTGTAAGAGGGAAATTATGTTCAAAACGAGAATTATCACTCAGATGACTTCCTCAATAAAACGCAAATCGTTTAAGTTGTTTATATTTTGGTGTAAAACAGCAGACCCTAAACTTAGATAGGCTTATCAAGAGAGGCATTACCGAGCGCTTCAATGCTAACTAATGATTTCAATTTAATTTCAGTGCATATTCAAACCTCCAATGAACGGTGCTCCATGGTCGAGAGGAAGATATCAGTGTCGTTGCAGACGGGGTTATTACTCGCCGTATCACGGAGGACTTTTTAATGGCACTTTAGTTGAAGGTAATTGCTTCAATTTACTCGACTGTTAGGGCGGGTGAATGCGTCTGCATGCAGAATAGTTTTGTCCTTTTTTTCTGTAAATGTTTGCTGTCGATAACGTTGGCTTAACGATCTTATTTAAAAATGTTGTTCTACAAATATAATGTGATTGTATCACTATCGTTTCTTACCTGATTGTCTGCCTTTTCGTCTATGCTTTCTGCAAAATAATAGATAGAATAAAAATATGGTCCTCTAACTGATGATTTTTTACTTATTTCCATTTTAAAAAATCAAGGCATTTTTCTGATTTTTATGAAAACATAAAAATACTTAAAAGATGAAAAGACACAGGAGTAAGATACCAATATTTAGCAATAACAATTATGGTTATAATTATTGAAAAAACTTCAAATCATGTATCGGAATTGTTCATGTTAAACAAAATTTCTCCATTATATCGCTCCTTGTATTTTCTGCCGCAACTCCTGCAAGAAATTAACACTTCTAAACGTATACCAAATCCTTCAACTATGACCCCATATTAAAAGGTCCAGGGGTTTAAGTTTGGACTCGTTGGCTGCCGAAAAAAATTCACTTCCACAGCCAATCCACCGATCAAGAAACTGTCAGGAAACGTCAAATGTAGCGACGCCTCATCTCGCATAAACTACATATTTTTTCTTAAAGCGAGCGGTACATATTCGAGAAGTAAGTTTAAATTGTACTGAAATCAGTTTTATTAACGAGGTTTAGATAAATTGGCCAGCAATTCAAATGGAGCAATAACATCAAATGTTCACCTTAAACTATTTAAATGCAACAATTAAAAAACGCACTACGAAAAATTGAACATTCTTTCTTAATTGTCATGTCAAAAAAACAGAAAACTGCCAATTTTTATTATTCTACTATGAAAACTTTCTCAACTAATGAGAAAATTGAGAATAAATTTTGTATTCTGTATCTTCTAAACTAGCGACCGAGGCATATTGAAAGCAATCATAATATTCTGGTGTCTATTATCTCCAGTTTAGAGGTTACCCATTCTCTATTAATCTATGATGTATTGGTCTGCATTCAAATTGCCATGAATGTAATGTAGGGTGTGTTTCCTTTCTGCGGCGATCCTAGTTCCAAAGAATCGCCTAGCGATACCATCTCAGCCCTCTAACAATGTCCTATTTTTTGTAATACCCGATATTCTCAACAATATAAATATTCTTACAAAAAATTTCATGACCTACATTAATGAAGAAACTGGCCTCATTGCCATCAAATAGTATTGGCAAAAGGAGACCGTGGACTCCAAAGGTTGCTTTAACATATGGGCGGTTTCATAAAATTATACATTGTATATTTGTACATATATGAATTTTTTTTCTCGTGAAACCCACTCTTAAGGTGTCAGGGAAAAATCGCATGGTAGTGGCCACCCTGTAATTGTCGAGGTGGCATAAAACGCAAACAAAACAAACGACGCAACGTAGGGGGTAGAAATCTTTTTGTTTTATTTCTTCCCAATCGCTGACAAATAATTCAGAAGAATTACGCCTCGAACTCACGCTAAATGGTAATTTCCAGGGGATTTTGAAACGAATGCTTTCGGAGTAATATATATTCGAGACTTGTTTTTACGGCTTTGATGTTTGAACGCCTTTAAATTTATGTATTTTTTTTAACGGTGAACCGTTCCCCCGCCATTTAGCAACATCAAATTCGAAAAGATAAAGTATTTTTCCAGTTCTACTTATACCGCTGCGACACTTCACTTTTTTTGAGAGGTCGCAAATTAAAATGTTAAGTGATCTTTAAACTGGGTCCTCCTTTAGTAAGAAATTAGCAATACTTGTAACTTAAATGTCTTCTTTAAGCTTGTTGACAAATTATAATACATCCTTTTTTTGTAAGTCGAGATAGTGGGCAGCAAGTAATATTTTTGTGTTGTAGCCTGTTTAAAACAGAAAGGTTATAAAGAAATAAAATTATTTACTTCCACTGAAATTTTGTTGCTCAAATAAGATGTTTCAACATGTTGCTAATAAAATGTAGCCTAATTTTTTTAACTTTATCGCTCTCTTAGCTATCACAAGTAACTTGTATAAGAAAAAATTTCAAAAAGCAGGTGTGAAAAATTACATTTTTAATGTATTGATATTTCTTGGGTTTTCGCGTAAGCTACTACATCGAGCTACAAGCTAAATAACGTTTGTCTCTTTGTCGACACTTTACATTCACCTTATACAGTTTTTTTGATCGGCGACGATCTATATTGGCTTTTCGAATATTATGAAATTTCTACTACCATTTTCGTTTTGTTATTAGTGTGCGACTATGAAACTATGAGAAACTATTTCAAAATGTTAGTATTGCCTTATGGAAAGGAAGTCTTACAGAATAAACCGGAAGATTTAAAAGAAAATATTAACTGTTGAATGTTTCCGGTCGTTACTTTGCAAAAATTCAGAATCCATAACGGTTTTTATAGCATGTAGATTACGACTAGTTTGCTACCTTAAGTTTAGTCAAAAATCAGAGAACTAAAATCCTGAAAAGTTTCTTGCGAGCTGCAAGGTTAGTTGGTTTTTTAGCGAAACACAAACAACTTTTTTGTGATTTTAAACTAAATCGTTTCATCAAATATCAAGCCCAGACTTTTATTTTTCAATGCAGCAAAGTTTTAGATACAATACACCGTAATAGTTTTATGCATTAGAAGAATAGCTCGTACCGCACTCTGGCGGATGCAGTCTCATCTCAATAAACATCATTGTACTAAAGTAGGGTCTGTGGGCATAGAAGTTAAAGTTGTACCCTAATTCGCAATTTTGTCATCATTGCTATTCATCAATATTTCCTTTTGAACAAAATTGCTTTCACCCGACTCCTGCGTTCTCTTTACCGGACCCGGTATAGAATTTAAATTAGATCTGATGTGGGCGAGAAGAGTCGTGTTAATTTCAGGTTATGATTAAAGATTAAATGAGCAGAACATTATGAATTTGGGAACCGGAGTGTGAAAAGTTTGTTTCATTTTAATCCATTTTAATTAGCTTAGCTGAATAGTAAGTTGTTGTTTTACTCTCGTGACTTTATGTGAAAAAATCGAAATATGAAAATCATCAATTGAACAAACGATGTTATTGGTTCATAGGTCAGGTGACTGGATGGTTATAGTGACTGCTCTAAATTTTGAAAGGAATAGTTTTAGTACTTTAAGCGTTAATTTAATGCAGCAGCATAAGTCTGCAAAAAATTCGTTGGCGTTTCTTTTTGCCACATTGTTTGAAACGTTTATTTTGAAAATTTCTTTACGCTGCACCTCGAATTCTCGATCAGAAAAGGGTCTTGACTTGAATGCAATTCAATTTAATTCGTAAAAGCTTTTCCAATCGAGTTCCTTTAAATCGGAAGCGAAATATCAGAATTTTATTACATTCCGAATTCGAAAGGTATTACCGTAACGAGTTAGTTTCACTCTTTAAATAATAGACGGCTGTGTTTGTTTCATCTTTTAGATGCGCGAAATTACTTATACAAATTTATATTCCGTGTTTACATTCAAATTGGTCGTGTCGTATTTTCCCATTCATAAGCATTGAAAATCTGCAATTTCAATTTCTGGCAGCTCAAACTCTACCGCCTCGCTATTGTCAGAATATCAGCCCCGTAGTTTGCTTACTTATTCGTCTTCCTGGAAAATAAATTGAACCGAGAGGCTTGAGAAAACAATTTTTTTTGGAGGGGCGGGAAGGAGCCTTATTTTTATTATTCTTGTTACAGTTGCTTGGGAGGAATATCTGGAAAACTCCACGAATTCATGGGAGACCATATTTCAGTGCAGAAAATGTGCCCCGGGGTGTCATTTTTGTACGGATCCGTCCCCTTGTCTAGCTACATATCATTGGCCCTTTAGGTAAGTAGTAACAATAGCTCACTGGGTCATATCCCTCGATGATATGCGTCTTGAAAGTCTCATTTATTATTAGATACGAGATTTTCGTTAAAGGATATTTCATTAGAAAAAACAAACAAGATTGCTATCGAAAAATCGTAGCTGGACGGGGCAAGTCCATAGCGCGTAGCGCGAAGCATCTTTCGCTTCGGGCCTTCTTGTCCTACAGGGACGTATGGTTTTTGTATCGTGCTCCTGCGGACCATTACGGAACTTTCGCAAAATCGATGTAATTGTATTGTGCATACGCCCTGTATAGAGCATCTTTTACTTATTAATGATGCAGTTTACTATCGATACAGTTTACGATTCTGTTTAAACCAAATTGTCTCATGTTTTATAGTTAACACACACACACACACGATACAAAATTGGAAAAATTCCAGAAATAGAATTTTTCAAATAGAGTAAATGGTTTTCGAGAAACTATGCAAATATCTCAAGCAGGGTATGGGATACTCGAAAACCGTGAGTTTTTCTTCTATAATTAAAAAACCCTGTATATAATCGAAAAAAATGACTAAATTAAAGATCGTAGCCCCGAATCTCCTGCGTTTTCGGGTTCTAAAACTTTGCCGATCGGTTAAATAGTTTTTGAGAAGACAAGGTTTTTCTATAACCCAAAATAATCAAAGAAAAATTTGGTGATATTTGATAGATAACTTTGAATTTTTACGGTTTAGATGTGGCTGCTGACTTTTACTTCCTTGCCAAATTTGAAGTCGACAGCTACATATTTGAGTCACCTATGACGTTTTTGAATATAGTACAAAATATCCTGAATACCCTGGACAATATGTGAAAACTTTAAATACAAAAATTTTAGCTGTTCATGCGCGTTATACAGTCATTTGAAAGAAACTGACAACAGAATCAAAGTTATAGTGAATTATCATTATAAAGGAAGCCCAGTTTTCCGTTTTTTGCCAATTACCGACGCACCCCGTACATTTTCAAAAAATCATCAAGAATAAAGATTTTTGGTCCGGACTTGAGCGTCGTGTGGTTTCAAGATTTTTTTTGATAATATATACCATTTTGGAGGAATGTGTTTTTTAGATACCCTACAAATGCGGTTTTTAAAATTTTAAAATTACTTCCTGACACCCAGCCCCCCAGTTTCAATAGGCATCATTATGGAGCTAAACTCTATATGTGTATCAAAATTTAAGTGGACAGCTTCAAATTTCGGACACTCATCGTGTTTCATAGCAATGTCCAAAAAACAGTCGAAAATCTAAAAAAAAGGAGGGACGCTGTCTGGTTTATGTGTCTCCTGGACAGCTTACAAGGAGTCAAATTTGAAGGCCGTGTGACAAGCCGTTTAAGAGTTAAATCCAATTAATTCGCCGTCTACAGAGAAACGGAGAACAGAAAAAAATTGAAAATGTTTATTTTCGACGCTGATTCCATCTGTACCAATGGCGACGCTGTACGACGCTCCGTTTTTGAGATATGAGCGTCGTTGCCAAGCGGGTATACTTTCGATAAAATAATGCAATCACGTCATCGTGTCTGGTTACTGTTCCAAATTCATATTTCTGTCATCTGCGTTTGCTTATAGAATACATTAAAGTTGAACGAGTTTAGCCCTTGGTGTAGTCCGTCGCTTTAGCATTACATGTGAGGGGTGTTTGCTTCTCTGGGTATGATCTACATTCAGTACTTTTATCCACTTATACCGGGCTTATTCCCGCGACCTAGGTTTCATCATTAACCATAGTCAGTTATAAGTTTTCAGAAAATATTTTTGAGGATTTTCTTGTTCCGTTTTACGTATCTGTCGGCCATTGTCAAGATTCTTTTCCCATCCCTTTCTTGATTTACTGCATTCAAAAGGCTTCTCATTCAATTATACACCTTGACGTCGTTTAGTAGCCGCTTTCGTTACCTTATTGGCCGTCGTGTCGTGATTGTGGCAATCCAATTCTATGACATTTTTATGGATTAGATTTGCTCTCAGTGAAATGTATTGGAATCTAAAATGTAGCAGACTATTTTTTAACTATGAAAATACTCTAGTAGAGTTCCGGCGGGTCGTTGGAGATAATTTTACAAATCCGCTTTAGTGCAAGATAATAATTACTTTTTTTTGTTTTACCAGTTATATTTAAATGTCGGTACGTTGTGGCAAACAGCCCCTCCGTTTAATCTATTGTGCCTGCTTTCATATTAAACGTCCTTTTGTAATTGTAAGTTGAAGACGTCGTAGAATCCATCTGTGAAATTGTAATTATTTCGGTGTTTGCCCTTGAATGTGTAAGTTTTAGTCTTTGTTGTCAGATTTATTAAAACTTTCTTCCTGGATTAATAATGAATAAGGACTAACTATATATGAATAGTATAAAAATGAGGCTATTGGTCCAACGATGATTCGAAGCGACCTAATTTATTTTTTCAAAAAAAATGATTTTCTACTTATTGGCGACAATAAATCGATCCAATATAAAAACACGCTTATTGGTATTTTTGATTTTGTTCCAGAATCACTCTGCTCAGTGTCAGTATTAGTTGTGTGTTCTGTACGCTGGTTTTAAATGTCTACATGTTCAAGCATCGCAAGCTGAAGGTATTTAAAGTAGCAAGTCCAATCTTTCTCAGTATTACACTCCTTGGATGCGCTACCATGTATCTTGAGGTAAGATCTATGGTTTAGGATGGTACTAATTTTTTTGCATCTAATTGTACTTATATATTGGTTACTTACCCATTTACTTTCAGCGTTAAACCTGCACAGTCGAATAAGTAATATTAAAATGGACACAAAAACAAGACCCAAACAAGACCATATTTAAAACGCAAAAAGGGTATTAACGAAGGCTTAACCCGACCCTATAAAAATCGCGAATTATAAATAATGATAATAAATACAAGTACTTAATTAACTTAAAAGAATGTAAAATACTTGAGAAGAACAGAAAAATTTTAAAAATGGGTTTGTTCTCTTTAATTAAAATGGTCAAAAACTTGGATATAAGGTGAATCAGCATGTTGGAGCGAATATCTCTATTGACATTTTCTAATATATTCTCGACAAGTCGAGTTCCCATTAAAATTGCTTGTCACATTACAAATCTCGGGGAAACGATAAAATAGGTCGATTATAAAGCAATTAAACAGATAGAAACGCAGAAATATGTCAAGCGGAGCCCCGCAATGCGATATTCGTAAATCCGTGGGCCTATTATTTGAATATTTGGGTTTAGGAAATTAAAAACTTTGCATTTAGATAGGGATTACCGCGCACATCGCAAACACTGTCATAATCACGTTTTGCAGATGGCCGCAATATTTCCGGTTCTGGATATGTATTCCTGTATAGCGACCAAATGGACCAGGCATTTGGGATTCTGTATTACGTACACGGCTTTGTTGATGAAAACGTGGAGGTGAGTACATATTCTGATGGAATTTGAGAATAATTAACACACTGAATTTGAACTACCAAATTTTCATAGATGGGTTTTCCATACGCAATACAAAATGTTAGAAACACGAACTCTTGAAAATTGCGGACTATTTTTGAGAGATTCATACCCCTAAACCTAAAAAAGGTATTTGGAAAAGGTCTTCGGTTTCATCATTTCATCGGCTAGCGATGTCTACCTCTAAGCAATGATTTTTGAATTTTATAACTTTTAATAAGTCAAAAATAATTTTTGTTTGGAAATTCCAGCAAAACCTTTTTAAAATATTTGTTCCAAATGTAACAAAAACCGTTTGATATCTTTAGCGGCTTTTGGTATATGACTTTTTGATTTTTTTTATTTCATTTTTTCAATCACTAGACTCCTTTGAAAAATATGATATACGACGTCCGTGAAAATTGAGAAACATCAAAAAATCTCACAATTTGTTTTTTTTTATGGATCTATTAACTATCCTAACCATTAATAAATACCAAGTAGAAACTTGTTTTTCACAAATAGCTAATAATAATTTCCTTTATGATGGGGATTCAAAAGGAATGTTTAATGAATAAATGAAATAAAAAACGCCGCAATATTTTTTTACTTTTAATAAATACACTTTAAAAATTTAAGTAAAATTCAAAAAAGTTGAAAGTTGAACCCAGCACAGTAACCAAATTTGTTTACCACAATTACTGCGATTATTGTGGATTATTCTTTTTACTGTTGCTTTTGATGGGTCTTATATATCTTATAGTAAACCAATAACAATTGAAAAATTAAGTGTAACAGGTAGATTTTCTTTGGATAGTTTGTTGATTAAATCACTAATGTCATAAGTCACCAGCCAAACACGATTTCAGGTTTGCCCTGGGCCCAACTGGTTTCTCAATTAGAAGGAAAGTAGCAACAGCTAACCGAAGCTATCATTATATTTAATTTTTATTAGAAACCCGCTTTACTGAAGGAAATATAGTTTTTTTTTTTCTGCTTCGGTTTTTGCTGAGTCGAACTTGCTAACGTTGCTAGCTTTTACTCTATACTTGCTTATATATTGTTTGAGGGGGACAGATTGTTAGGTTGTTTATAGATTTCTATAAACTCTCGGATTTCTCGTTGGTAGAAGAATTGATTACATGAAGGAATTTTAGTTTTATCTAATAAATTTTTATAACCGGTTTCGTGATTTTGTTCGCGAATATATTTGCCTTAGTGTTAATGCCCTTTCATGTTATTTGAGCCTAGTTGATATTTTTCGCCCGGTCTCTTCTCTTTGCCGCACATGCATGGAATGCCGTAAACTCCTAGCATCCCAAATGGAATTTTGTCTTTGACAGATCGAAGATGTTGAGAGATTTTTGAACAAGTGGTAAATATGGTTTTGACGTTACATTTGTTTAGAACTTTTGATATGTGGTGGTGTGGTGATGTTTTAAATGTAAGTCAAGCATCCCTAGTAGATTTTCTTAAATATTTAAATACTAACATACTTAGTTAGAAACTAATAATAACTTCCCATTCTTTGATATTTTTATCAGTAGAAAATCAGACCTAACATTGGGTAGTTGTGTTTACAGAAAACAGACGCACATAGACCGATACTTTAAAGCATGCTCACATCACCATACAGCCCAAAAATCATCGATTATCAACTCTCTTGGTACAGAGCCGTAAAACTATCTCAGCCCGCGACACTGAACCCAGAATTAAAACACCTTACCTTTGCTCTTCTCTCTAATAATTTCCACATTAAAGATATTAAGCGTTCCTTTGCAAAATACATTTCGCCACAACCTTCCAATAGTAATGAGGCCGAAAACAATCCTACACTTGCCGCGGTGGTCCTTCCTAATAGTCAAAACATCACTGACCACATATCAAAAGTTCTAAAGAAATATAACGTTAAAACCAGGTTTGCCACTCGTCCAAAAATCTCTCAACGAAAATCATCAACTAGGCTCAAAGAATATGAAAGAGCCTTAAGACTAAGACAAATAAACTCGTCAGCAGTTGCCGAACACAATCACGAAACCGAACATAAAATTTCATTCGATAAAACTAAAATTCCTCGAGACGGTGTTTATGCCCCTCATTTAGATCCGCCCCCTCCAGGAATATATAAGCAGGTACAGAGTAAAATGCGAGCCAGCTTCAATCAAGCTCTGAAGAAGTCAACAGGATGATTGGCGAAATGTCAGCAAGTTTGACTCAGCAAAAACTGACGCAGAAGGAATCCAGAAGTTTTGTAAAAATTATTACAGTAGCCTATGGAAGTTTCTGTGAAAAATCAAAAATATAGGTTTCTTTAGTTTCTAGTTTATTCGTACAAACTAGTTTAGCCTGAAATCACGTTTGGACGGTAACGCATTTCAAAATATTTAGATTGTAATTTTGCTTCAGAGTTTCGCTTACGTACAGAGTAAAATCAGCTCACAAAGTAAAGCTCACTGATAAACAGCTCTTGCAGTGGATGGTACCAATTCTGCTGGTGATGCTCATCTATTTGGGCACGTGGACGCTTTCGGATACGCCCACGGCAGAGGAGATTGTTGATAACGACGGACTTAGATTCAAACAGTGCGCCTACAATTGGTGGGACCACAGTTTAGCTATCGGTAAGTGATCGCATAATACCAGTAACCCAGTAGCTTGACCATCTCCTAAATTTTATTTGAGAATATAAAGCCGCAACTATATTGACGAACTTACCTGTAATTAACTTGTCTATTATTATTCAAAGCTAGTTGTTATAAAGACGTATCAATAAAGTCAGGAAATGTGCCACAAAAAAATCAAAATTGTTTTATTAAATAGAATTCGTTACTTTTAAAAGGACGGTATACGGATACGAATTGTGTTTTCGGTAGACACTTAAATGATCTGATTCACTGCGCCGACTATGCCATCATCCACAGTACAACGTTCCAGCTGGTATTCAGCTTGAATTAGTTCCAAATAGTTACAGAACCCTGTTGATTCAGTTTTTCAAATTTGACCAATTTCGTATAAAGGTTTAAGGACCATGTTATAAACACTAATGAAATCTTCAGAGTTTAGCACAACAATTTTACTTTTAAAAAAACACAACACTCTAATTCACAACTATTATTACAAATAAAATCAATACTCATATCACATTGGCAGAAGAATTAGAGGGATTCAGATCTGGAAGACCTTGTTCAGGCGAAAATAAACTTACCGAAGAAATACCCGTAAACACCGGAATAAGACAAGAAGATTCTTTAAGTCCACTTTTACTTAATATTATAATGGATGAAATAACTAAACAAGTTTTAAAACATGAAGGGTACAAAATGGGAAATAGAGAGATAAAAATAATAGTTACGCCGACGACGCCGTTCTAGTAACAGAAAATGAAGATGACTTGCCGAGACTTGTTTACCGATTCTAAAAAACAGCAAAACAAATCAACATGAGAATATCAATCGAGAACAGAAAATGAAATTCCAATAAGATGCAAACTCGAAATCGAGAACAAGATTATTCAATAGAAAATGAAATTCAAACACCTTGGAATCGAAACATCCGGATGTGGAGACACCGAAGAAGAGATAAGAGGTCGAACAACTAAAGTAACAGAAATAATATAATATTGTCGAACAAACATATAAATGCGGACTCGAAATCGTGAATATACAAAGCAGCTATAAGACCAATAATGAGGTATAGCGCCGAAACCCGCCCCAAAACATCTAAGACCCAAAGAATGTTAGAGTCCACAGAAATGAAAATAATCCGCAGAATAGCAGGAAAAACACTAATAGACAGGGAAAGGAGTGCGGATATAAGACGAACATGTAAAATTGAAGATATCAATGATTAGGTGCTCAACAGAAAAATAGAATGGAACTAACAAACAACAAAGTAATGAGGGACAAATCTGCATCGGGACGAAGAAGCACCGGCACACTTCGAAAACGTTGGAACGACAACCTTCCGCTACCACATAACTAGAACTAGGCAGGGGGACGATGAATGAAACAGGCTTATGCCTAATAAAGAGAAATAAGAAGAAGAAGAAGACATTTATCCACACCAAGCAAATTTTATGTAAGTATGGAGGACTTCAGTTAGACCAGTAAACGACATAACTGTTAAGTGGTACTAGTTTTCATTCAGATCATTTCTATACCAAAGTAAACCCCGTTTAATAATGTGACAACTGGGTTTAATATTATACATTAGAGTAACGTTAAACACGTAAGTTTGTTGCATCGTCATGTAAATGGTTTGCTAACCGCTCTTTTGTTGTTGTTAGAATTTGATCCTCGTGCTTTAGTTTGTCAATATTTGTTCTCCGTTATTTATCATCGAACGACCAAATAAATTCCTTACTGAATTATTTCGCACAGGAGCATTTAACCGCGAGGGGACTGAAAGTTTGATTAGAGTTCAGTGTGTACATTTTAACGTATATTTCGCATGCATATTTAATGATAACGTAAAATAATTTGTGTTGAATTGCGATCGACTGTAATTTTGTTCGTTATTACTTTGTTAATGTGTTTTGAATTTTGTACTAGCGAACTTTAATCAGATAACTCTACCGCTAACTGGTTTAAAAGTTTGGAGAATTTCAGGGTAAGAGTTGACCATTAAGCTCTAATATAAGTGTTTAGTACTCGACACTTTATTATAAACCACTTTAAGTGAAAACAAACGGTAGGGTAAAAGTGGGATAGACGCCCTTGGAGGATAGACGCCGCACCTTAAAACAAGAGCATTTAAAACCAAGTTCACGCTCTAGTACCAAGTTCCCCGGACAAACCTCGTCCCGCACAGCACAGTCTGCGCACGCGTTTCGACAGGACTGCACGTGTCGCCGCTTGAGTTAAAAAAACGTTGCAAAATTCTACCGCGCTTGCATGATTCTTGTGACAGTGACATTTTGACGTGTTCAGAACTTTCGTTTTCGAAGGTAAGTTTTAAGTGTGTATTGTTATTTAAATAGTATGTATCATTTATAGTTATGGTGTGTTTATAAAATTACGAAATTATTTAAGTATTTTTACTTATTTGCTGGGGCGTCTATCCCTACTAAAAAGGATAGAGGCCCCACTATTCACTGAGTATAGACGCCCTTAGAGGCATATATCCTCTATGACTTATACACAGGTACTTAGGCTATAGGTAAGATTTTTTTAAATAACCTATCTAGTTAATATGAAACTTAGTAGGAAAATTGACTTCCCAGTTTATTTATGAGCTGTTTATACCTTTACATTACAAATCTAGATGAAGGAAACCTTCCTCAAGACCAACCAGTGCCAAAGGAAGTCGACGCTAACGCCGATATGAATTCATATTATGTTGAGCCCCAGCCTGGTCCATCGTCGTCAACTATCAATAGGGAGCCTGAAACTGTAGTAGTCATAACTCTAAGTAAATATCTTAACGAATGTTCACCTATCCCGAAAATTCCTGTTCCATTATACAAAAGAGGCAAGCAAGGTGCTGCCGTTTTAAATTCAGAAGAACATATTAACTCTAAGAAAGCTAAGTTTAAAGATAAAGCTACGAAGCAAACACCAGACAAACCTAGAAAAAACAACCAAAAATCAGTTCCTAAAAAGAAAAGACCGAGGTTTAGCTCTGAAAGTGAACAAGAATTCGATGAATCAGATTCTGACCACACTAAATCTGATAAAGAAAATACTCAATGCAGAGAATGTTTCGATGACTATGCAAGTACCAAGTCCACGGCGGCCTGGATTCAGTGCCTGATGTGTAAACTCTGGTTACACGAAGATTGCACTATATATGGCGATTACTGTAATAGATGTGGACACAAGAAGAAGCTTGCAGCTCTAAAAGCGAACCTGGCCAAAGTGAATTCAAAGAATAAGTAACCTGGCCAAAATAAACAGTAACTCTATATTTGTTGATTATTTGAAAATTTTGATTACTGTTAGTTTTTTTTAAGAAGGAAGCTTTGTTTTTTTCCAAAGAAGTCCTAAGGGACGGATTTGTTTTAAGTTTTATTATTCCTAAATTTAGTTTGGTAAAGTTTTAAATAATTTTTAATAGACGTTGTTAAGTTGCTAAGTTTACCCCAAGAATGATTGAAAGACTGAGCCATTTGTTCCTATAAAAATGCCATTTACTTTAGTTTTACGGTATATTTGGATAAGAAAACCTTATAATATATTATTGCAACTAAGAAAGCAAATAAACATCTTATTTAATTTTTTACGAATTTTTTATCTATACTCAGGTCGAAATTTTGCCAGGGGCAACTACCCCATACAGTAGGCGTCTATCCTCAAACAATAAGTTTTTTTAGAGCCGAATATCTACAAATCTACGGTATGCATTGAATGATGATATGAGTAGATAGTAAGTATAAGGACTATAGTTGTTACAAATAGTTAACTCACTCGAATAGTGCTTTAAAAAAAAAAGTTATAGTCAGCTTACAAAAAGTGGGGCATCTATCCCACTTTTACCCTAATCAAGTTTCGTGCCTTTAAAACACACACTAGCTCTCCTCATAAGACCCATCTTTTCTATTTTAGTTGTAGTTTAACACGAACATCTTTTGTTTGAACTGTCCTTCCACTAAAAACAAAAATTTATTAAATGGTCCAGATTGGATTACATTTATGAAAATTTTGTAAGTAGCATACAAAGGAGAAACAAGATTGCTTTCGAAAAATCGTCGATTCGCAATTTCTTGTACTAGAGGGACGCATGGGTTGTCTATCGTGCTCCTGCAGACCACTATGGAACTTTCGCAAAATCGATGTACTTTTGTTTCGCATGCACCTTGTATAAAATGACATTCACGTCTCGCCGAACTTCAAAATCACGGCAAACTTAGATAAATATAAAAAATTGTACAAATAATAGCGATTTCCAATGATGTTTTTTCAAATATCTCGCACATAGGCGAAACCTGAAACTCTCTCTCAACACAATTTACGATACTGTTTAAACCAAATTATCAAATGGTTTATAGTTTTTTAGTTACCATAATTTTTAGGATCCTTTTGAATTTTTGCCCATAAGCGACACGCCCTGTTCATAATTGAAAAAATGCCCGAGTTTATAGCCCTTAATTTCCTGGTTCAATTTATCAAATAGAGTAAATTTTTTTCAAGAAAATAATTGTTTTCTGAAAGTAATACGTACGCCGTAATAGTCAATGATGTCATCATGTCATCACCCTAGAAATAAAGATTTTTCATATGGATTTTTTCAAATATCTCGAGCAGCGTGTGTGATACACGAAAATCGTAAATACAAAATTCGTAGCTGATGCGGCCTATAACACTGTTTGATTAATTATATATTTTTTACGAATTTTGATTTACGGTTAATAATTTATTATGGAAAAGCACAATGTTCAGGTTCTCTTAGATTTTTGTCCACAAATGAAACACCCTGTACATAATCGAAACAATGCCTGAAATAAAAGTTGTTCCCGCGCTTTATGGTTCCAGAATTTTGCTGATCAGGCGAAGAGTTTTTAAGAAACAAATCTTTTTATACAGCCCAAAATTACGACAAAAATATTTTCGAAATTTTTAAAAAAATATTTGCCGATTGCACATAGCTTTTATAACTTGCATGCTGGGGTGGACTTCTACTACGTTACTAAATTTGAAGTCAATAGCTGCAAATTTCTGGCACTTGCGGCATTTTTCAGCATAACACGATATATCTCGAACACCCTGTACAATTTGCGAACACTTTAAATACAACTCTCTCTATGGGCTAAACTGTCATGTAGAAGAAACTACCGACTGAGTAACAGAATTCAACTTACAGTTAATTTTCTTTTCAAGGCTAATTTAATTTTCAGTTTTTTGGAAATACCGTCGCACCCTGTATATTTTCGAAAAATTGTCAAGAATAAAGGTTTATGGGTATTCTCTTTCTGCGCCTTCCCTTTCAATAAATTTTTTGATTCGTTAAACAGCTTTCGAGAAATAGTCATTTTTTGTTTTTTTTTAAAGTGATTTTTAAATTTTAAAAAATACTTCCTACCTCTCAATTTCAATAGATTCCATCACGGTCCTAAGCTCGGTACTTTTCCAAATATCAAATCAGTAGATTATTTAAATTTTTTTTCATGGCAATGTCCAAAAAACAGCCAAAAATCGGAAGAAAAAGATGGATGCCGAGGTCTAATCGCGGCCATTTTTACATATATTATGCGAATCGTGGATGGTAAAAAAGGAGTCAAATTTGAACACCCTACCTTAATCGGTTCAAAAGTTATGGCCATAAATAGGTTCGGCCCACATAGATCGGAGAACAGACAAAAACATTTTTTTTTTCAACCCCGATTCGTTCTGTACCAAAGGCGATCCTCTAGGACCAACAGTTACCAAGATCTGAAGTTTAATCGATTTTTCAAAATTAACTAGTTAAAAATATTATAAAAATTATTAGACTTTACAGTTTTCTTATCAACAAGGATTTTTTTTAAGTTAAAATCCTTCTGCATATTATTTATTGGATTAGTTTGATTAGAAATTATTATTATTTAATAATATACGTCTTGACAGTAAAATTTTGCTTTAGGTTATGAAGAAATATATTTCTAAAATAAATAATTGACAACAAAGTGAGAAATCTGTAGTAAATTAATGATTTCTCCCAGTACCAAAATGCATATTGCTTTTAAAATATTACAATTGAGAACTGATTTTTGAAAGGATTATTTAAATTAATTGAATATTATTGATAATTTGGAATTATTTTTGATTTTTTGTTTAAAAGGTTCAAAAATCTTCCAAAAAGCCTAACATAGCCTAACAGCGACTCATTGTGGTCGTATTTTGCGAGAATGTGGTAAAAAGGCTCGAGCCCATAAAATCCTGTAACTTTTTCTAAAATGTAGCACTTTAATATACAAATAAACAATAAGGGTCACTAGTGCTTTACTACAAATAAAATATTTAACATTTTAACATTGTGTATCAAAAATGGAAAAATTAAAATCCAGAAATCCAAAACTTCTATGCAGACCTTTTGCCAAGAACTTCAGTGTTTAGGCATTGAAATTAATTTAAATATTGCCTACACTACAAACTATACTAAAATTTTGTTTGAAAATTTTTGATTCAAAGGAATTTTTGATAAGGTTGATTTTCCTTTAGAAAATTTGTATTCAGTCAGACAAATGGTAACGAGGAGTTTTTTGTCCTTAGCGAAACACCACTAATACGTGATTTAAATTCCTTTCAGGGGAAGTCCTTTTTTTGGCATGGGGAGTGCGCGTTTGCTACAACGTGAGAAACGCGGAGTCCCTGTACAACGAAGCGCGATTGATTAGCTACGCCATCTACAACATAGCAATCGTCAATATCATGATGATCGCGTTTCAGTAAGTAGAGAATTATGGGTCGACGACGCCACTGACCTCTTTCTGGGCTAAAACGAATTTTACTCGTAACTGACCAATTTCCGCGAGACAGTTGAGTGCATTCTCGCGATATATATAAAAGTAATATGGCTTGGATTAGTATCTGGTTTCTCGTTACGAGGCAGGCCGATGTTTTATTCCATTTCCTCTCTTGTCTCGTACAATGAAACACGTTTCCCCGCAATTTACTCAATCTGCCGAAGGAGTTTTACAAAAGAGGGTCGCAGTTAATACAAAGGGTGCTGTTCCGATCTGCTTTGTCGTCTATAAATATTGACACAATGGTCCCATCACACTTCTTTGGGTTATTTCGGAACAGGTGTTGTAAATCCAATGTAGCTATTCCTTTGACTTGCTGATTTTTACTGGGAAAGGTTTATCGAACTGAACGTGAACTTTGAAGATGAACTATTAAAATTCGGTCCCTTTGAAATGTCATTTTATAAACATTGCACTTTTTTTATTGTCAAAGCTCGTAGTTCTCAATCTACTCTTTTTCTTGCCAACCGAAATATTGAAGGTGCATACAAATAATTTGGATGGTAAAGTGGAATATTGCAAGTACATGTAGGACTGCATTTAAGATTCGGAGTTTTAAAATTAATCTTTGACATCATTACTTGATGCGCTTTTGTGACCATTTTTATGTGACTCCTACTTGGTTTGAAAGTTATTTTTTAATTATGTACCCAATATTTCCGATATATGCTAAATTTGTGGTGTTTTCCATAATAACCAACACCTACGCATATTCTGTTAATAGGGGTTTGGGATGACTAAAAATTCTAATATGTTTCACAAGTATGCTGCATTAAACTTTTTTTTTACCAGATAGAGCCTTCTGAGCATTTCAGACTTCAGTAAAGTCATGGCATACTTAAAGTTTATCAAACCAATCCTCTAAACAGACCAAATGTAATTTGTTCACGTTTGCGCACACCCATATAAGTACACAATGGCAGCATGAGCAGTGCGGGAAAGAAGGTTATATTTTGTTAAGTTTGTGAGTATTTTGAACAAATAATATAGATAAACCCACCGTAATAGTTATTCGGTTCAACCAATAATTGATAGAAATTTGGTGATCCGTTATGTGAAAACTATGACTAGAAAAAACGTGGAAATTTAATTCCTCTGAATATTTTAGATATATTTCATATGTAATATTCTATAGTTAGGCTTCGCCCGTTTTCAGATATTTATTATTTTCTGTATATCTGTAAATTTGTTCAAATACAATTACATTTTTAAAATCCTTAATATTTACAAAGAAATAATTTTCTTTGTAGAGAAAGGTATGTTTAATAATTTAAGTTATTAATTTCGATGACTACCAATGCAATACCAATACAAAGTAAAACGTTTATTACCTTTACAGATTGAATCTTTATTTTGTATCACGTTTCAAGTCGGTATGTGTTTTCTTTTTCCTTGGAGCGCCTAATTGGCATTTGCTTTGCTACTTTTGCCCTTAAAAAGAACACCGAAGCCAAACGAGAACAAATAAGACGACATCCTTGAAGGCGGGTAAGATTCAGGAATTAAATTTATTTTCCCTTGCAGTTTGTTTATTTTTCCGAGAGCTGGTCCGGACATAAAATATTTTCTCGGATTCATTAGGACTCAACTATCTACGACTACGACTACCGCTCTAGTTTTTGGTCCAAAGGTATGTATGCACTGCAGACGAACTTGGTGTCGGGTGTGGGGTAATGATTAAGGATATGATTAACCCAGATATGCCTGTTGGGTTTTTAAGACTATATTTGCATAAATAACTTTACTATTCGGTTGCCCCAAGGAAAAAGACAGTATATGAAAAAAAATATATTCTGAGAATATGAGTATAAGAGTTGCGCTTTGTTATGACCATTACAATTCGAAGTTTTTTTTGTATTCATTTAGATTAACCAGGGAATTAAGGCTCTAATTTAGCAAAAGTGTTAAAAAATAACGAGTTTTTTAGGAAAAATGCATAAGCACAGGTCGACTAAGACATCAAAAAAATTTATTAGTTCAATTGGAATCTCATCAGGGCCCGTAACATTTTAATATCGTTTATCCTTTTGATTAACTGTTAGGTCCGCTCTGTATAACTGTTGAATATATTTCGCCCATTCCGTCTCTTTTGTATCTCCAATTATATTTCCCTCGCTATCTTTAAGAATATGTGAATGAGAACTCCTCCGGTGTCCAGTCATTTAATCTTCTTATATAAGTTAAAGCTGTCATATTTTTTGTCTAGTTCTTCTATTTCGTCTTTCTAATATAGTAGATAACAAAAAAAGTACACTAACAAATAACTAAGAAAACACATAATATTTTTGGTAAAGTAAAATAATATAAAATGAAGTCCTTTTAAAGGAAAAACGAACAAAAACTAAATTTGATAGATACAGAAATATCAGAACTGCCGAAAAACTATACTCCGCATGCATTTTAAATCTGTGTAAAGACAACAACAATAATAATCTGGAATTAACCAAGATCGACACAAATTACCTCTTTCCAATACCTACTTTCTCAGTCTCAGCCTCGAGAAGCCCTAATTTTTAAAACCCCTTATTCCAGTAAAAAATAGCAACAAGAAGAAGTAAAATTGCCAATTCGCTAATCATTACTAGAACAGAAATTCTAATTCTAATCTCATGTAGGTCAAAAAAATATTCATTTCAATAATATCATTAGGCAATTCTAGAATATTTCGTGCGCATAACCTCACTTTTTCCAAATAAAAAGAATAGTACTTACTTTGCCTTAGCCAAATGCAATTGCACCATTCTATTGCCACTGGATCCTTCCATTATATTATATTATATGCTTTAGTTGTCCTAGCTACCTGCATATGAAAAAAAAAACAAACGATACTAACTAATGTCAAAATACAGCATTTGCCTTAGCTGTTATAAAACTATGATATCTGATTGGTTGCTGCATATACTTCGTTTAACACCCAGCTAACACGCAGATACTGTATTTCTAAAATTTGGTAATTATTATTGCTCTGTGGATACCTGAATGTTTAAGCAAATGCATGTTTCCTTGGGACAGCCGTATTGGCATATTTATTTTGCAGTTGCCTGTGAGTGTAACTGCTGAAACGATAATGTTGCAATAAAATTAATTATTTTAAATGGCGGTGTTCTTACTAAAAGGCAGCAGCTGTATAGTTGTATTTTATAAAATACATTTTTATCGCAACGTGCTTACTCCACACTAGGGGAGTATAACCTTAAACAAATGCCAGTGATGATGTTACTTGATGAATACCGTATGTCTATAGATTTCAATTTACCGAACACTGAACATATCGCTGTAGGTAAAATTTCTGAACGGTTTGACGATGAAGCTAATGTACTTTTTCAGTCATTGAGTTAAGTTGCAAAATTGTGATTCGGCTGATTATAAAACAAAATTAAACAAGGTGCAAGGGCCGTAAAAACAATATACCTCCAATTGACTTTTTGAGGTCATTTTCATATATCTCATCCTAACTCCATATACATTCCATCACTTATTGAATAACATACGGCCTTTAGTTTTAAAACGCTCCCGTCACAAAATGCCCATTTCTACGTAATTCTAATAATTATTGTAATTACTATCCTTACATACTGTTCATGATGCTTATAACGGGTTTTCCCTACTTAAACTTTAGTTTTGTTTAGTTCTTCTTTTGTTGTTTTTTCGGACAAGATTGTATTCTCTATATCGCTGGTTTTGATTAGCTATCATTTTAGATTAGCGTTACTGCCTGAATAGCCAGTTTGGGGTGCTAACATTTGTATTATAACCATTATTATTTGTAGTGAATTTATATATTATTATTAGTACATATAAAGAGTCGACTGTTGCGGTCAAAATATGACTATAATAATTTCAAATTTTATGCTACGACGGGCTGAACGCAGGAAAATTTAAGGATTATCAATTATTTAAAAAATAGATCTTCGTTTTGATGGACTGGAACATTTAATAGGTCATGTGACGAAAGTAACTAAATAAATTTATTGCCCTATCGGGTAGCTTTTGCAACAATGGAAAACATTTGGGGATACATCAGAATCTTTAAATATTATATAATAATAATCAATTACATTTTCTAATAAATATGTTGCGTTGTTTTGTGATTTAATATTTTTGTATAAAATATGTTCCTGAACGATTTATTTGGGTAATATTTTATATTTTAAATTAATTAGAGTAGCACACTTTATTTAGCAAATTAATATTTATTATATATTTTCGACTTTTATCATTTGTATTTTTATTTTAATTAGATTTTTGCATTTCGGAATTTCGACAGAACTTTGTATCCTTGTCTAGGTAATAAGAGTTTTGAGAGGCCAAGGTGATCAATGGGACAACAGAGCAAGATCACGTGGTGTGACCGCGTCATTTTCCTTAAACGGCATAGGCCTCGTTCCGGAAGAAGCGCCAGATTTGTACCAAGAGAACGAAGAATTAAAGGTACATTTGATTAATTTCCAACTCATTTCTCAGACAAATCATTTCAGGAAGAAATACAAAAACTGGCGGCTCAAATCGAGTTCATGAAAATCGTCCACATGGAAATGAACAATCGACACATAAAACCCAAGGCTGGCGGATATTTTAGCGCATTGAACGCACCGATGGTGGTGCACAGTCCGCTGACGAAACAGGGAATCTTGAACAAACCGCCGGAGGAACTATGACATAATAGGAGACGGAGCTGCAAGGAGTGGCTCAGGCTAGAGTTTGTACTGAGGCAGACAGGTGACTCTGTCGTTGTGGTTTAGGTTTGTTTTTGGAGTTAGGTTCCATGTCAGCGACGTATATGATGTCATAACTATATAACTTGAGGGTTGTAGTTTTAAATTGTATTTTTCTAAGTTGAAGCTGCTTGTTTGCAATTTTAATTATTAAATGTGATACATAGGCGTTCCTTTTTTCAGTTGTTTCTGTTTCTTCCTGTTCCGATTAAAACTTGGCTGTCGGTCGTAAGTCAATTAGATATATGTTGTTAGCGAATTTAATGTTACGAATGAATTGAATGGTTGAAATGCTGTATAAAAGCTTTCAATTTGTATTTGGCAAGTCTTACAAGAATATCAAAATTTTGTGTGCATAACTTTATTCACTTTCTCCTTGAACCAATTTTTCCGACATTAACTTTATTTATTTTTTTAATAATTAAAAAAATATATATTTTATTTAAGTGTAACCCGTAGTTACTCCAGATCCCCATTTTTTATACTGAGATTGCATATTTTTCGATCGCCTGACTTATAAGCGAAGGCTGTTAACTGCTACTGCAATATTCGTTTTTTATTTACTAGCTCAATATTTTTGCAACAAATGAATGACGATTGCGCAGAAGTACCTATTCCCGGAATAGAATTAAAATATCAAAATGACAATACAATAAGTGGGAATGTTACCTCAACTAGATTAAATGGAGATGAGAATATTTTAGACGGTGTAATTCTACTGTTATTGTTATAACTTCATACCTATCCAGCTAGTAAAAAGTAACCTACTCATACTCACTTAACTTCGCTCTATGATTTGTTTGTCATTAAATTATCTACACGTAAGAAAGTGTTCTTGATGTTGTTTTCGGCTCCGTTAATTTCAAACGCAAAGATGTACGCCGCTTTTTACCACGTAATAGTGAAATCAGTGGCGGAGCGTGTGTTGAATTTTGAATAAAAAAATTGTTTAAACGAAGTTAACAACGAACGCATTATTTGTTTCAACATCTGGTGACTAAAATGGTGAATTTTATTTCACCGCTTTCAACAGCTTGTCAATTTGAATAATGAGCCACCACGTGTCTGCCACTGGTTACATAAATAAATTTGTATTAAACTGGTGCTTGGGTGCCGCGTTGACAGATAAATTTGCCTAGGACCTTGTAGATTGATTTATGTGGATGCCATCTTATATCTTACTTAAATTATGTTTTCAGATATACAGGGTGATACATAATTAGACGTGACGTTCTGTGCCTTGAAACGGAGACGGTCTCAATAAACTAACGGCCGATAAAGTGAATTCTCGTTCAATTATAAAGAACTTTTATTTTGATTTTAAAGCGTAGGTATGTGATTAAAATCATCTACCTTTTTTTTCAGGAAGATTTGCCATGCATTGTAGAGTGTGTCCCGTTTGTGATGGTTTTACGGGGCCACGAACAGAAATGAAGAATTATTTTTAAAAAAATGCGTTTTTAGAAACCCTTTGTAGTTCGATTATGCATCCAAAGATGAAATTGCCATTTGCGATAGGTATTTCAAAATCTATAAAGTTTTTTTCAAAGTTACCAATAATATCTATTCGAATTCTTGGTTTTTAAACGTAGTTTAAGTGGTTTAAGTATCCAATATTTTGGGGGTTTTTTTATAGACTGCCCAAAGCAGGCGAGTAGTTAGAGTCAAATTGAATGTGAAAAATTGATCCTAGACATAGAGTAATTATAACCTCAAAAACGTGTAGATTTTAACATTATGTAAAAAAATACGGGAATAGAATAAATCGGACGAGATAGTGACTAAATAATTGTGGATTATCTGGAGTATACTGTTCCCAACGATATACCGTTTTTACGATATAATGCGGTATTTAACTTTGGTAAATTTTTATGAAGGTCTAACCGCAAGCTAACCTCTTTGTAACCCTCAAGAAATAGATCATCGGTGAGATTCTTCGATTATTATTAGTCCATTCAGTGAAAAATCCATTCAACAAAATTGAATAATATTAGTATTTGATAAGAAATAAATTGTAATAAAATGTATACGGTACCTCAATGAAAATAGCACACTCAGCTTTGAAAACCAAGTGAATAACATTAAGTGAGTAATTACAAATACAAGACTGAATAGTTTCAACGGAGAAGAAAATATTTTTCATAAAACTGACAGCTTACTCCGATTTCACCAACCCCACAAATCAACCAATAGTAAACTGGGAACATATGCATTATAAATGTACATAAGATTTTGTATTGCATTCCCAGGAAAATATTTTGGTAATTTCTTAAGTTGGAAATCAGTTTACACTTTCTAATGTGTTTTTAATATCAACGTATCTAATGGGCAAAATCAAATTGAAATCGAGCTACTGGGGACTGTTTTAAGAAAATTTATAAAAAGCACACTAACAAGAATTAATATAACAGTTTAATCAAAGAAAATTTCCCGACTCATAAAATACAACATTCCGCGCGGCACAGTTCTTGTCGGTTAACGTCTTAAATACGGCCCTGGCTTGTGGAACAACAGGCGGGTCCTAAACACATTCCGAAGTCAAAACCATAAAAGGTTGTAAAAACGGTATATAGTTGTGCGAACTCTATCTGGACGTTTAAAAGTTTCATCGCAAAAAATAAAGAACAAATTTGACAACAAGAGTATAAAAGATTTCTCTACTGGAGACTTTGTCCGTTTACAAACATTTAGTATTATACTAACCTTAATGGTGGCCATTCGGCTAAAATGTTTTCAAGATGGCGGCAGTTACAACAATTTTCGATATGAAATATGTCGAGAAATTGAGAAATGTAATTGTATATAGAGTGTTCGGTACAAAATAAGGAACAAGCCATTGTTCTTTCAATTATAAAATATTTTATTCGGATGCCCTCACCCCCCGCGGATTGTTAAGTATAATCCCAAATTTTCATATTTTTGAAAGTTCTTACAGTTTTACCGTTGAATTTTCGGTAGGACGCCTTGTATATTAGTGGGCCATGTAACCGAGAGTAAAACATGGTTAAGTAATGGAAGCTTATAAATGTGTGCAGATACTCAAATATTCACTGCACGTGACGCAGATAACAAGTCTATATACACATATATGCCTAGATGTTACGCTAGAAACTAGGTAAGTTATATATTAGTCGAATTTTAATGTTAACACAGATAGTCTTGTGTACGTTTTACATGATATTTGTCTGAAATGGGAAATTGTTGACATTGAGCCCTCCAAATCAAGTATTACAGACTCATCCTTCTGTAACATTTGATTTACAAGAATTTAATAATTGCGATTTCAGATATAGTGTCCTAACTAGCATTAATTAGATGTATGTCTTAATGTTTAGGCTGCATTAATGGTTAACATTAACGAGAACTGTCATGCATAAATATAGGCAAACGAAACGGATGAGCATGTTACATTAACGTGTTGGGTTTTCTATATTGGACCTAAAGTAATATATTTTTTGTGACCTTCAGTTGTTCCTAAACGCAATGTACAGGTATTTTTTTCATACATCACAAATGGGATTTTCATCATAAATAAATTATAATAAATGAGAGTAATGTCAAATCAAGTGCAAAGAAGGCTTTGAGAAGAATCTAACTTCGCAAAGTATCCAGTTTAATACAAATATGTACTAATAAGGAATATTCTTATCTGTACAACAAATGAATGCTATTTGGTTTAAATGTTGCAAACATCTGTTACATGTTACTTAACTGTTGATCATTTTCTGTTAAGGAAAATTCTGGTACCTATATAAATATAGTGAGCCACGTTGAATAAATGTGTTTATTTAAACCATCGGTTTTTCTTTAGCCTTGGCCACGTGGCTTCCTATCCTATGCTCGTCGCCACTGTAATGTTCGGTAATCACAAAACACGTAGGTTGTTTTTAAGAGTTCATTTGTTGAACATGGATTTTAGAAACATGGACATTGCGGATTTCTTGACCAACACATGCATCCCGTCCATTCCCTTTGTATCTTAACCTAGTTCCCAAAATGATAGTTGCGCTATTACCTCAGACCAGATACGTAACACCGTACAAGGCAATGATGTTATACACAACAAAAATATTGCCGCCAAAACTGATAGATATCAGGCTCGTTTGAATAACAAATTCGCATTTGTGGGGCCATCTAACTTTGCGGTAGAAACAAATTGTTCATTTTGTACTTTTCTAGAAGCCGCTAGAGAGTGTTTTAATCCTATAAGTTTTTCCATGTATTCTCTGTATTTACCTGTCATAAAAATATACCTTGCTTGCGTATGCTAAGCTGACGACATTTCGTTCTTGTTCAAATAAAAGTGCCCAAATGTCCAATATCGTGAATTACTTTATTGTCTTCAATCTATTAAAAACAACCCACCATTTAAATTAAACCTACATAAATATTAACAGTGTTGTGTATATAGATATTTTTGATTACTACAAAACAGCATTGCGTCTAACGAAAAAATAATTTATTATAAGTTTAAAGTGGTGTCATGCAAAACAATTTACCAAGTTGCCAGAAGTAAGGGTCCTTCTTGGATCGGCAACACATTATATACATTATATTTCTTTAATTTAATCGTTAAAGCATCAAGTAAAACACAGAGAACGGTTTTATACCTACCCATTAATTATTTTACTCTTTTTGTTACAGAGGCATAGGTTTCTATTCATTTCCTTTTATTTCTTATCTGCATTTTGAACGCTACTAATACTTCCGTCAAGAGGGGGCGCTACTTGAATTTCGTTTTTTTTTGTCTGTGGTTATGAAAAATAATTCTTATCTGTGGTGGTTATCACAACATTTAACTTATCAACAAGTGTTTAGAAACTGTGTTGTTTACCGAATGGACAAAAAACAGTGTGCTAGTTCGTTTCACTATTAGATTGCCATGTGCAAAACCCGTTTTTTAACTGTTTCTTTGTTAAAACCGATAACTTTTATAAAATACAAATTGGTTAGCAAATTAAGCGCTGTCGCATTTTGAAACTTAATGAGCTTTAATTGAGCGACACCTTAGCCAATTGACGGTAATTTAAGCGGATTTACTCACCTATTTGTGCCTCAGGCTTTGATGTTAACTTAAAGAACATGGTGCTCGTTCTAAATGGGGTTTTGCAAGCTAAATGTCCTCAAGATATGCAAAGCTTGTATAATAGTCACCCGGTTTATAGAGAAACAGCGGGTCAGTTACTTTCTATTCCAAATAAAGTCATAGGTCCTGCAGGATTGCTCTATGTTCGACAAAGAGAATTTGCTGCGACTGTTCCGCAGGACAAGAATGTCAGCATATTGGGTTCTGATACAGCAACAACATGTGCCATTGTTGTATTCAGACATACTGGTAAATGAAGTATATCAAAAACATCAAGAGCATCTTTTGAATTTTTGTGTAGGATCAGGTGCTGTCGCTCTTGCTCATTTAGATGGATCAGGAACAGAAGAAGCTGTGTGTGCCATGATTCAGAGAGTGCAAGAATTGGCTCTAGGATATCCAGAAGGTAGATATGAGTTGCAGATTGTTGGGAGTTATAGTGACCCAAACAATAAATCAGAAGAGTTATTTTTTGGCCTAATGACTTCATTTCATAAGCACCCTCTCGAAGTTGACCTTATACTAGCATGTGTGGGTCCTTTAAACACTACTGTGAGGGGTGGTATCGCTTGGCCATTAATATATGGAGTTGGTGTGAATGTTGAAACTGGTAGGCTTTGTTTTCTTTTTTAAGAAAATGTTATTGAGAAATCTTTTATTGACAGGTGAAATATTTCCTTCAACTTTCCCAGATCGTGGACCTGATTCCCATTTAAGAAACGCTCGTACTTTAACAGGGGATTCTGAGGTGCTTGACATATATGACTGCAATATGGGACTCCTTAAGATAGGACCTTTTAACTATAAACCGCTTAGGGGTGTGGATTTGTGGCTTGAGCAATCTGATGAGTTTATTCTAAGGTAGTTACATATTTTTCTGCTATTGTTAGTTTGTTTTTTATGCATGTTATTTCAGACATCTATCCTCATCACCTGATGTTGAGCCACCACATTTTGTTGACGAATTGAGGAGCACTTTTAAGTACATTCGGGAGCACCCATTTCCTGCTGTTACGGTATTTAGAAATAACAGACCACATTATTTTCGGAGGGATGAACAAACAGGGTTCTGGACGCCCGCCATTTTTTAGAGGTTAGTTTAAATGAGGATATGTCCAAATATATATTTTTATTATCTTGTATGGATCTTTTGTGTTTTAGGTATATTTTTTACTCATTAATTCGAAATATTTAGGGAATATAGGCATTTCACAGATTTTAGGTAATCATTGAATTTTTCATCCTTTTCAATTTTGGATAATTGTCAGAGATGTACAAATTTAAATGATGTTTTTATGTTAGTGGAAAATTGTATTTTTCTGAAATAACTTTTTTGCATTTCCTCAGGGGAGGAGACAGATTTTTTAAGGTAACCTCAATTTAAGGTGATCCTATTATTTTTTTGCTTGCTAGCTTTTCCAATTTTAATGATTTAAATACCTTTTTAACACTAAAGAGTGTCCAAATTTGTCCTTACGTTTAACATTGGTCACAACTTACAATTATTATTAACAGTTAGTAATAAGTGGTGTTAATAGTTTATAATTCGTTTTTTCTTGTGGCAAATATCCTTTGACCCAGTCCAACTTTTTTAATAAAATTCTCAATACTTGAAATATATTAATTTCTATAATATGTACCTCATCTTGAAGTTTTATCATAGTTTCAACGTTTTAGATATTAAAAGGTTTTCCACTATTTGCCCGTTAAAAAATGGATATATGTCTCTAATATTCTGTGAAAATTTCTGTCATTTATATTAGCTCAATTTTTCAGTTGGTTCAAGACAAATCACATACACAGTTGACAACTTGCATTAAATATGGATTTTTTATATTTGAAAATAAGCGGTGCAAAAATGTATTTAGAATAATCTTGCTTTGTTCCTTGGTGTAAACATAGTTAAAGTTAAAAAACCTACAGTTTCAGTCCTTTTAAACCATTGAACATGAATAACAAATCGATTCTATAGGATGTCATAAATTAGTTTACATAAATTAAAGCATGATGTGTTTTAATAAAAAAAGGAACAATAACTAACTAAATCTATTCTCAAATTTATTTCAAGAAGGTCAAATTTGGACACATTTTATTTTTTGATAACTATTTTTAGGTCAAGCACATTTTATTTGCAAGCGACATAATTACATTATCATTATCCTTATCCTTCTGGATACTTTTTCAAAAAAGTGACTGCAAATGTATTTGGCTGTGGAATGTTGTTCGCACAAATCAGTGTGATATCTTAGGCCATAGAATATTTCTGCCCTGGGAACAACCATTTTCGAATAAATGTTACCTAAACTATACAAGAGAAACGAAGCAACCTTGTCCTCTTCCACAGCAATTCAATAAAAAGTTATTTTTTGAAGAAAGAGAGTAGTAGAGGTGGGTACATGTACTACATTGAGAGGTTTAAGTTGTTGTTTGGTGCCCCCAAACGAATAAATGTAGAGTTCTGAATGTTTCTTTTCTCTTGCTTTCACAACTCCACTTTGAGAGACAAAGTAGTGAGAAACCAGTGCCTTTATATCCTAAATCATGTTATTAGGTATGAGAAATATCATTTATTAATTTGTTCTCAATACTAGTGAGTACTTTAAAACAGAGATATATCCATATACCAGTGTTATTTGACATTTGTATATTTTTATAGGTTTCGATTAATTCGTCCTTTTTAATGTACCAAATTTGAGTTGAGTTAATATAGCTATAAATCTAAGCAATGGGTATTATATAATGGGTAACAGATTCCACATTTCAAGAATCCGTAGATGACAGCCATAGTTTTAAAAAGCCGCATTATAAAGCAAATTTTAGGTCCATATTACTCAGCTTCAAAATTTTAAAACCTCGATTTTATATGCTTCGAAATTGGTTGTTCACAGCTAACTAGTTAACTGTTGTGAAATATGTAGCTGGATGCCTGTCTGGTAGTTTAAGCTTGTTGGCAAATCTGAAAATTTCGCTACTTCAATATTAGGGCTTTGTTTTGTTGATACGGTTGTTATAGATTATATACAAGATACATTTAAATGTGCTATATAAATATATTTGTATGAGGCTGGTATTTTTGTTACTGGTGGGTAATAAGACGCTTGCCCAAATTGATAATATAATTATATATTAGTAATAATTATTGTGGTCATTTTTACAACTCTTTATAATATATTATGTACATTGATTAAAACTTTACAAAAAATATAGGACGCTTAGAACAAGGTAGAACACTATTTTTAAATAATATAAGCATAGATTCGCACTTACACAACTCACGTCATAACATACTAAGCACCCAACTAAAATAGTGCAACTAAATATACACTACAACCTAAAAGAAAAATACACTTTGGTTCAAATAGTATTAATACCATACTGAAATACGGTTATCTGTCGAGGAGGAGCCTGACAGAATTGTTGAAATATCACAAAATCGTCGCAACATATTTATCCGGTGATTTAAATAATAGTTACACACGACAGGGTTTGCGAAACTGTAAGAACCGCTGATTTTTTTTAACTGGCCAGTGCTGCACAAGCGCTCTCAAAATGTCGCCAAAAAGCTGTAGTTGTTGTTCCTACCTTTCTGCAAACCTTAAAGAAGAGAGCTAAACACATAAGAAAATCTACTAATAGTTAAATAAATTAAATTGAGATTTTAAAAAATAAATAAATAATCTGTTTAAAGAATAATAGCTGATTTATAATAAACAATTTGTTGGCAACTTTAACGCTGCTCAGTATAAAATTCTATCAATGTTTTCTCAATGGGATACAACCTTTATTTTAATAACATTAGTACAATTATCAACTATAAGCGTACTTTAACACTAGATTTAGATTATTATAGGTTCACACTTAAAGTTGCCAACTAATCACTGCACTTGACTTTTGGCATAGCCACAATAGTCAAATAAAATCGGTAGTTTTGAAAGGCAATATGAAGAATCTTGGTTCCCGTATGACCCGCTGTGATAGTTGCAAATGTACAATTCATTGATGCCAAAAATCGCTAAAATGTTTGATATAACGTTTCAATATTTCCTAACAGCAACAATAATTTTATTAAAAACCACTGTTAGTGATAAAATTATTGTTATCGAAATTTCGACTAAAATTCGTCGTTCATATAAAGTCACTGATCTAAAAATATTTCAATAAATAGTTTTTGTATGTACATAAAATTAACGTTAAGAGATTAGGTCTACAATGCGGTAGGCCTTTAGTCCGAAATGGCCGAACAACTATTTAGGTTAGGGGGTGAACCATTCTTTGATTCGGGCGTCGTAGGTTTCGACACGTTGTCGTTATCGTCTCGTTCTTCAGAATTTTCGGGAATCAATTGATTAGCTGCAGCGAGTTCTAACCACTTTATCCTGTTTTGACGCACACCTTCCGCCAGCGGCTCTAACTTATCGGACAACATTCCAAATGCCTACAATTTATACGTTTTTATTATAATCACTCTTCTTCAAAGTGTAACAAGAGTAACAATGCTTCTCAAAAACTTAGTTTTTAAATTGTATTTGAGTATTCAATTAATGTATTTTTTTATATAATGCTACATGGCGAATACTTGAGAAGTCCTGCAAATATTTAATATCAGTATTTTTTACTATCGGTGGTTTATCCAACATCAAGAGCCTCAAAGTTATAGTCTATATACACTTTTCCCATTGAGCTCTAGTATTCCTCATAAATAAATTTTGCAAATTCCTTTAATTTGCAAAATTTCACAGAATCACACTTTTAAAATCGTTTCCTTAAATATTCAAAAAATTTTAGTACGTATGAACTCTTTCTTTAAATTTTAGTTTAAAAAAAACTTGAAAACTTTCCTTACCTCATAAATTGGATAACAGATGGAATCAATGAACCCCACTTGCATTAGGGGTAACTGGTCCTCTTTTTCTCTATTCATTATATCCTGCAATAGAATAAATATGCTTGAATTAGTGGCGATTCAATGATTTACGTTAAATATGGGCTTACAATTGGTGTGATATTCAACTTTTCCCTTTCGATATCGCCTTGTTCGAAAAACTCTGAAGATACCAGTTCAGCCACCCTCTTTTCAATCTCCCATGGTTTGGTAATTGCCGCCAGATCGCAGACCGTCATTAACATTGCCCTAAGCAATTCCCTGTGTTCTTCTATCGCCCAACACGGTCCTTCGCGGACAATGTTAAAGAAGGCGCCCCTTTTCCTGAAAAAACTACAAGTGTTTTAAACGATTTTAATGTGCGCGTTAATAAGGTACCTAAAATATACTGCTAAATCGGTCGATAAAATTGCTTCCTCTAATACCCTGATGACCCTTGAATACTCTTCTGGTGAAATGTTGGACAGTAATTTGTTCCCCGGCGAATTTAGAATCATAATGCATTGGTCGAAATGATGGTGCTCCATTGTCGACGTAGAATACAGTTGTGCTAATGGCGAGGATGCTCTAAAAATAATCGTGTAATAGTGTCGGAGTTCGTGGTTTTCGTTTGTCTACATACTTGATTTGAAAGGAATTGTTGGTTCCTCTGTGGTCCAAATCGTGGCAGAGGCAACCAATCATTAACGCTAGGCACTCAATCTCACCAAATATGGTCCACCATTGGGTGGCCGTGATTATTGCAAACATCATCTGGGCCACGTTGAAAGCGTGCCTCCAATTATGGTAAGTAACGTTTCTATAGTTCTTCTTGACAGATAACAACCATCTGCAGAGAACTTCGTAATCCATGTGGAACCTTTCCACTAGATCCAAATCGAGGAACATCCTAATGCATGCCTGCAATAAACATGCGGAAGGCTTGATTTCTCTACCCTAACCGTATGTAACCTTTACTGAATCAGAAGCTTACAGAATTTAGATATGAAGACAACATACAAGATACATACCGACACGTCAAAGAATGTATGCTAAAGTAGCGATAGAAAATCTAGAAGAAGAAGGAAAAGAAAGATAGTGATAAGACGATAAACGAAATAAAAGAAAAGAAAAGAAACAAACTATACAACACATGACTCACTACTAACAACAAAGAGGACCAAGAAAATACAAAGAAAAAAACAGAGAAGTAAAAAGTTCCGAGGCAGAGTAATAAATTCACTAAGATCAAATAGAAAAGAAACGATGTGTATACCATACATAGAAAATGAAAAATGGAAACAACACTACAAGAAGCTGCTCACAGAAGGAAGGCAAGAATTTATAGAAAAAAAGTCAGAAGAAGAAGAAGAGGGACAACATATACAGCCCCATATAACGATTGAATTGGAAGACATAAGGACGGCAACAAAAACCATGAAAAACAACAAAGCATGAGGACCAGGAGGCATAGTACCGCAGCTCATAAAATATGAAACAGAGAAGCTACTAAGGATTATAATAAATGGAGAAACAATACCAGACGAGTGGAAGGAAGCTCAACTAACATCATTGTTCAAAATTATCGATGAACTACTGTCATAGCAACTATGGGGAGGTTGTACGACAGAATACTAAGGAACAAATTGGAACGGAGCATAGACGGAAAAATCGGCGAAGAACAAACACACTTTGTTTTGCGGATACCCCAAGATGAAGAAGACCTCAGTTACATGGTCAGGAAGTTAAAGGAAGAATATGGGAAGGTAGGATTGGAAATACACAACGACAGAAGAGAATGCAGTCAGATTAACAATAGAGGACACGATTGAAATAACAGGAACAAACAACTCAGACACTTTTGATTTACACTGGCTAAATATGCGATCATGTATACAGCAACTCCATTCAGTTTTATGGGACAAGAACTTCAGGAAAAAAAATGAAAACGTTAATATACGATACAATTATAAAGAGTATAGTATATAACAGTGAAAGGAAAATCCTAGCAATATTGATTTCAAAAAAGGGCACGTTGGAGACACTTACAGTAAGCGTTTCGTCGTCACACATGTTGATGTCGTCGAACGCGAAGTCATGCAGCCTGAAGTGGGCCGCAGATGGTACCCGTAAACTCTAAACATAAATTAATTATTGCAGAGGTTTCGCATTTACGCAGCCGAAACTTACCCGTAGTTTTTGTGCGTCGTCCAAATTGGCAGTGGCGTGATAAGACAAAACCTCCAAGGTAACATCTTGCTTCGCGATTGCGACCATAGCCTTTTCGTACATGTGCGTGTTGTGTATACCCATACCGCAGAATATCGCAAAAGCCTAAAGAAAATGGTTGTGACATTTTGAAGTGCAACGCACGAAGTCCTACTCACTTCAACGAAATTCTCGTCATTTTTGGTAAAAGGCAGATCATTGAATTTATTGATCAGCTGAATGACTCCGATAATGCTACCCTTGGAATTTTTAATTGGCATACAGAGAATCGTTTTGTGCTTGAAATTTGTACCATCGTCCACGCTGGGATCGAATCTTGGATCTTCGTCCGTTTGTGCTATGTTCACAGTCTATAATTAGAACAAAGTATACTTCGGCCAGTTTGCGAAACTAAAATGCTTACCTCTCCGGTGGTAGCCACGTACCCCGTAATGCCTATGTTAATGGGAAATCTGCTTTCGAAAGGACTGCGAAAAGAAACAATTGTACAGTAAAATTCAAAAAATAGAAAACTGAGGGGTACCTTGTCCGCGATTCGCCCTCCTCTCCGTTTAGGTCGTTTGCCTCGAAGTCGAATACACGCGAAAAACTAATTTTGGAACCCTGATGTACCAGCAAAATCTGAAACGGAAAAAATGAGAATTAGAACGTTTTTATCCGAAGTTTGTTGCTTCTGACAAACGTCCAATACCATAATATTAAAAAGGCAACGAACATAATTTTTTGGAGAACTTTTTGGCAGTAGTACGTGCCTGGATCTATTTAGAAGCATCCTTGTTTTGTGCAAGAGTTTTGTCACTGAAGACTTGCGCCTTCTACATCTGAATAATTTAATAAGCACATTTAGTAATTTTCGAAATTATTTGTTTTGAGTAATGCACCATCCGGGCCTAAATTATACGATATAGGCACTACATAAGCTAATAGTCCAGAAACTTATAAAAAAAATCATCAGGCACTTGCGCCAGATTTTAAAATCTCGTCTTTAATCGATGACCTTGGGGCATTCAAGAGCCAACATGGCCGCTGGCAGTATTTTGTCAAAATATGCGTAGTTCCTGTTAAATGTTCTGGGAAAACGAGTTAAAGATGTGGAAATCTCTGCTTAGAAACAAAATGATTCAAAGTGCAGTGGGTAAAATGTAGATGAATGCGCGGAAAAATCATTACCCTCAAAACGAAAATATTCAATACATCAGTTTTTACCGTAGCAGGACCACTATTTTAGCTAATAGCTATATACAACTTGCTAAAAAACATACAATAATTAATAAATCAAAGAACCCTCTAATATGGCGTAACCGTGCTTATTTATAGAAGTTATGCTATAATTACGAATACCAATTTTGATTTTGTTTTTATGGGCATTGCTGAATTCTTCATTTGACTGAGTTTGTTCCATGTTCAAATTCTGTATCAGAAAATTCTTATCTGTCATTATAAATTTATTTTTCAGATTTAATTTTATGAAGAAATCTATATCGTTTTCTTTCGCTAATCGTTTAAATTTCATATTTATTTAAAAAATAGGTCGAATATATTTTAGGCGAAAAGAGTACCGCATACACGAAATCTAGGTTGTCAAGAATTAATTTGTCGGAAAGGAAATATTTTCGTCAGAATTGTAAGGAGTGACCCGCACGGGCTGGCCCGGACCTGTTACCGCATCAAAAAAAAAATCAGGGGCGAGCGCATGACTACAGAATCAGCCTTTTGAGGGCCAACTCAAACATTGATACTCATCGCGAGATGGCGGTGCAATCCATAAAAACAAACAGAGACTCGAGAGATGGCGGTGAGAGCCAGAGTAAGGCGAGGTATTGCTGGGATAATCGTTCGAAGTAAATGATGGTTGTGTGTATTCTGCTCTAGGTGTAATTGTTATTGTGAATGGAATAAATTTTCAGTTTTACGGGGAGTGATTTATTTAACTTCACTGTCGCGTTTGACGCCCCCCAACCTTGCTTTTTAGAAAACGGAATTAACTCTTAAAAATCACTTCACAATAACTTTAAGATCGAGAAAAAGGAAGTTACCAAAACTTTTTTCTAGGTTCAATCAGTATAACTTAATGAAACCCTACGGCGATTTGATAACATGCCCACAATCTTAGCAAGTTATCTCACTGATGATCTCCAAGTCAGGAGTTCGAATGATAAATATGATTATTTTAAGCCCGTCCGGGTGAGATTGCCCTTAAACTGTGTATCCTGCGTTGATTCTGAATAGTCACAGATTTTTGGTGTTCAATATTATTAGGTGCGATCATTCGGAAGCTGTCAATACGATATGTTGAATTCGATAAATGACGATTCTGCGAATTATAATACAAGATGGGAATTAAAAAGTTACAATTTTTCGTACTTTTAAGAGAGCAATATGTTAGGGCTGAGCGTAGTGTAGCGTTTAAGGGATCGTAATGGCCCACCTTATTTTTGTAACATAATGTATATCCCAGTTACGATGCGAAATTGTGGAAATGTAAAGCAGTTTTTAAAGATTTAAATAAATTGAGATTAAAAGTAAAGTCGAAACGTACTCTAACACAGTATTCTGGTACTTCAATCCGCTTTCAGCTGCAAGTAAAAATTTGTTGTTTTCCATTTTTTAAAAAACAATTTGACAAAAATGCCGAGGTGGGTTAGACCGTTTTTTGTTTAATGAGGTTATACTTTTCATTCGCACGAAAAACCTCATTTTATTAGCACCTTAAGGATGACTGTCAGATTAGATATTTCAAGTGCTTTCATTGAATATGTCTACAAGCAGCGACAACGACAAAAAATAAGGGCGGTTTTCACTGACGTAGATAAGTGGGTGTTTGATCAATTTGGTCTGCACCGTAATGCGAAATATCCCCTGCTAGCAACCTACGTTATCGGTTATTCTCTGTAGTCAACCACTTCTGTAAATTAATTGCGTTGGCTTCTGAGAATGCACAAGGATATCGAGATTAGGTACACCTAAAATTATATGAAACATTTTTTTTGGGTTCAACATTTGAATTAGATTCATACATCATTCGTAATTTTTTCGAAAAAAAAAACTATACTACTTTACAAAGTAATTTTACTACTGGAGACGAAGAAAGGTTTTCTAACCTCAATTTTTATCAGCTTATAAATGGAATATGCATATGCATATGGCTTAGTAAATACGTATTTTAAAAAGTTGACGCAATGGATATTAAAAAAAAATGCGTTCACATAGAAAGCGACATAAAAGTTGCATTATATAGCCAATTATTTGTTCGTAACACCATGTGTGATTTTATGCACTTTACGATTTCTTGTTCAGGAAGGCAGCTATAGCTAAAGTAGGAAAGCAATATGGGGAACTTATTTTCACCATCTGTACAACTAAAAAAATGTTTTTGTTTCTGTTCAAGTTTCAACAAATTATTCAATTAATAATATAGGGATATAATGTTCTACTATTTCTACTAGTCGTACTTCATTGTTTGCAGAAAAAAATTCTCTGTTACAATATAAAAATTTGCCTTCCGTGCAATCTATGACTTTTTTGCATAGTTCTTTTTGAACCCCGCCAAAATTTATTTTTAATTTTCGAAAAATTGGAATAAATTCTAAATGTTAAATCGGAACTTAACATACGTCGTCGAAGGTAATAAATGAGCAAACAAATAACTGAATTCGGTAACAGTGAATCAATCAACGTTTAAAAATTAAAAGTGCAAATTTTAATTTTGGCATTGTGACTGGTTTAACGTAATTTTTTTTTCCCAAGTTCATGAAAGATAGCCACAAGTTATTCATTACTATCGTCTGCGGAGTACGAATTCACTCAATTTAGTTGGAGCATTTGTTCTGTCGAGCAAGATATACAAAAAATATAATATAATATATAAATAAAATAAAATAATAATAAATAGAAAACAGAAAATTTGTCGCTTAAACTGGACTAAAAAACCAAGGAAACGTATTTTAAACCAGCGTAATCAACATGAATCTCCCTGTGAGCAAAGCAAAATACCATATTGATAACTACTATTAATTAGTGGATTCGATGGACGTCGACGGTGGTTTCGACAGCTTAGTACACCAGAAAATTAATCGCCAAGCGGATAGACAGGTATTTGGTTTCCAAAACGCTAAATTTTCCAGATTGATTGGAGGTTTTAGCGGCATTAGTTGGTCCGAGGGAGAATTACAGTTTTTAGTTTCCCGGAAAATGCCGCGCGTCGAGGGTGCTTGCGTTTATCCGGAGTGTGGTGATGCGATGAAAATTTGATAATGCGAATTAGAGAGAGAAAGACTTTCACACAAAAATTTATTTAATTATGGTAATATCAATATTTAACAATGTATGTTAATGCTGCCCTATGTTTTGTCTCTAATACGAACAAACTAAAGCAGCGGAACTACTGCAGCACGCTCCTCTACCGAATGACTGCGACGAATTAATCTACAACCTCAAAAAATGGAACATATAGGGTTGTTGTTAATATTATTGTGTTGTAGCAGACAATTTTCCCAGGCTTCATTTTGAACGATCATTATTAATTATTAGCTTATATTCGAGAATTAAAATAACATTTCAATAACATCCTTGTTTGGAAATTACTAGGTGCGAGCATATCCTTACCAGCATTAGTATATATCATTGGAATAGATAGGTCTTATTATAAAAACGGGATACGTGGCACGCAGAGTTTGTAGAGAACAATAGCTACGGTAACAATGCACCTTTAACACAATACCTTTTAACGTCAACGTTATCGTTTCGCCAACTTTTGATGTCCTATATACGTCATATATTTTCCGCTGTTACTGCGTTCCGTATAATTTACAAAGCTCAGGGATGTTTCGTTAAAAATGCAACCGCAGCTTGGGGCGAACTTTTATATCTGGGTTATCAAACGAGCAACATATTAATAACGCGTTAACGCAGGTGTTTAATCGTCAACGGAAAATTTACAGTGACGTTCCAATAACACGCAGATGTGCATTTCGCTTTCGGCTTGACAATAGGCTGACGTAGGTAGATCGTTCGTTCATTTATATTGGTTAGTAATTATAAATGTGAAATAAATCTTACCTGTTCTAAAGTCTGAACCAAACAAACTTTTAATCATGACCGACACCTGTCATTTTTTAATGTGGAAAACGGACTCGGGCAACCCTCAAAACTCTCTATACTCTCATCCACAGCCGTCAATTACATAACAATTCAAAAATGCTCGCAGACATCTCTTAAAATATTTGTATTTTGAATAGCAAAAATTATAAATACAAGATTTTCAAAAGGTTTGTGTTTCAATAATATTTTTCATACGTAAATGTTAAGATAACTTCTCAAAAACAGCGAAATTTACAGTGTAACAATATACCATTTTTTATATCCCAAAAAAAACTTATTTTTATTAAGGTCGTCAGTTTTGTTTCATTTCGCCATACCTGTTTTTTTTTGTAATGTAAACTTCCTGCATTATTAAAAAAGTCCAGCTAAACATTAGAACAACGATGTTTTCGGAAAATTTGAAATGCCAATTTTGAAAACAGATCCCCAGACTTAACACCACTAGCCTTTTTATGGGGATACATAAAAATTATTGTTTACAACACGTATCTAACCAACTGTAAGAAATGAATATATAAAAT